CGTGCTACGAAGAGTACATAACCCCCCAGAGTGTGCAACGCCTGATTCAGCTCTGCATAGGGTCTTGGTCGAGCGTAATCGGATCTTTGCGTCATAATACCGTACACATCTGAGGGGAACCCGGGGAGCCGCGGGTATCTCGGATCAAAAACAACGGTGCCCTGCCTTGCGCCGGTGTGGAGTGTACGCATGACATCAGAAGATCCGATTCCGCTCGACCAAGACCCGATGAGCTGGATCGGCGTTGCACACTCTGGGGGGTTATGTACTCTTGGTGCTACCCGTGAGGACCTCGGGTAGACGGGTACAGAATAGTACCCGAAAACCCAAAGTCGCAGATGACATCATGTCCAGTGCAAGTGTACAAATTCATGTAATACTCGGCATGTCTACCCAGTGTGTAAGGGAAGGGGTGCATTGTGGTGTTACCATGGAAACATTGCCCGATAGGGTACCCATGCTACCTGTGGAAAACTACCCGAACCCGGTACCCGAAGAAAAAGCTACCCGACTCGGCACTAAAAATAAGGTTAAAAAAAAAATTAGTGACGCAACGAACCGTGAATTTTATGAACGAACAATCTAGTGAACACCACTCAAGGGAACGAACGATTATTCTACTATTCCACAACAAGTGTACGTGTAGCAAACACACAACACAAGCGCTCAGACTCGAGTCTGAGTAGAGTCTGCCATGGTCTACCGCGTGTAGTCTATTCGTTGTCTGGAACACAGTACAAAGTATGCAGCGCACCGACTTCGCCCGCCCGTGAATAATCGAATTTTCGAACCTTCGACCTAGATTTTATCCGATCGATTACTCGTTGAGGTCCAATAGATCACTGAAAGTCGAATAATTGACTATTCGTTACATCACTAATAATAATAACAAGAGACCGATAAACCCAAGAGTGTGCAACTCCTGATCTCCGAGCCATCATGGGTGCCGTGCTGCCCGCATGGCGTAGTGAAATGACGATCCAGCTGCATGGATTTGAGTTTCCTATGGCTTTTAAGCTGCGTTCACAACTGGCGCGTGTACGCATGAAACCACGCCTTTGTGCGCGCTTGTGCGTATTTTGCTGGCTTTTGGGGCGTCATGCGTATGGAAACGCACCGAAATGAAAACTACAACCGGTTGTATTTTTCAGCGCTAATCAGGTGTACATACTAGTCACTTTGACTGGCGGAGTCAAAAAATTAGTATTCGAATGCATCGTACGCGCTAAATACGACTCGGATCGCTGTTTTTGCGAAAGCCTGAGCGCGCGTTTGTGCATGCACGAACCGCAAGCGTACCGCGTCCACGCGCCAGTTGCGAACACAGCTTTGATAGACTCAACGATTTCTCGTGCAATAGTGAATACGATAAGTTCAAAGGCAATGCCTGTGTGTGACGCATCATGTACAAAACTATCTGAAGTCTCCGCGGAAAGCGGATTTGAAAGCAAGAAGCCACGTAGCAGATCAATGAATAATGGCGCAATGGCCCGCAGCGCGTGGCTACATGATGCACGCAGCGTGTCGCGCCGCGCGTTCTTGGGGTTATGTACTCTTGTCTTGACTTCAGTGGTCGCTGGAAGCAGACAATTACAACGGGAACACTGCACCAGGTGATGTGAGTTTTCGCCGGCGGATCCCATAGAAAGGGTGTCACAGTAAGTGTCAGTTGCACACTCTCGGGAGCTTATCAGTTGTGTACTCTTGAAATCGCTCATAAGCGGTCTCCTTGATGATTTGTGGACGATCAGACTTCAGTATGTTGATAAATGTCATATGCACGTGTAATTTGATGACAGGTCATTTATTCCCGTAGCTATGCAGAAGACGTTACTTCAGTAACGCCTGGCGCTAGCCAGGGTCCACACAGCTTTAATTTGGTATTAGTTTATGTGTTTGTGTCACGTCTGGCGCTATCCCGTACCGTACCGTACCATCAAACACAGCTGGCCACAAACAGCTGGCCACAATATTCAAATAGGGCTTTCAAATGCAAGATCATAACGTGAAGCAACTTGGAAGAATGAGTATGAATGCTAAGTGTATTGGGGAATGCATGTAGGGCGATAGCGCGGGTTCGAATCCCAGGTTATGCCTAAAAAAGAGGAGAATTGAAAAATTTATAACATCCCTATGCTTTTTTTGCCTAGGTCATCAAAGTGGTAGACGGTGTCGTATTACCCTCGACCGTACCTGTCCCGTACCATCAAAGACGGCTGGCCACAAACAGCTGGCCACGCGTGCACGATATTCAAATAGGGCTTTCAAATGCAAGATCATAACGTGAAGCAACTAACGTTACTTGGAAGAATGAGTATGTTTTTCGATTTTGACAGCATGTTACAAGGCGAGGACGCGTAGTGCTCCTGACTACAACCATAAACCGGTTGGCAGAGTCCCGGTCTTGCGACCATTTGAACCGTATTGGGAAAACCCAGGTTCTGCCAACCGGTTTATGGTTGTAGTCAGGAGCACTACGCGTCCTCGCCTTGTAACATGCTGTCAAAATCGAAAAACATGTTAAAACTACCAAGCAAGGCTTCTGTATATAAGAATGAGTATGTATGCGAAGTGTATCGGGGATGCATGCCTGATGCAGGGCGATAGTGTGGGTTCGAATCCCAGGTTATGTCTTGAAATTTTTTTTATAACATCCCTATCCTTTTTTTGCCTAGGTCATCAAGACAAAAAAGCATAGCGTTGGGCCCTGAGCTTCAAGCTCTCTCGTTTTAATAGCAGGGTGCTGTGGGCAAAGAAGCTACGTCCGCCACCTCTTTTACATTTTTTCAAAATGGACACTTTCAGCAGTTCTGTTCATACACCAACAAATTCTATGAGTGCAAGACACACCGTTCCGGTTCTGACCCACAGTCCAGTCCTTTACAGCCTTGATCGCCAGGTGCACTGGTGCCATCGGATTTACGAGGACCGTCGGTCGAGCTACGGCTTGGAACGTTCTGAATACGAATCAGCTACCAAAACTAACTACAAGTTCAACCAAGAGTCCATAACCCCCCAGAGTGTGCAACTCCAGGTTGGGGTCTGGCGCAACGAAATCCAAACATTGCGTCATCCGGTCCCCGGGCAAGCATGGGCGGATGGGGCCATGTGTATCTACGGCTTGGAACGTTCTGAATACGAATCAGCTACCAAAACTAACTACAAGTTCAACCAAGAGTCCATAACCCCCCAGAGTGTGCAACTCCAGGTTGGGGTCTGGCGCAACGAAATCCAAACATTGCGTCATCCGGTCCCCGGGCAAGCATGGGCGGATGGGGCCATGTGCATATCTGGTACATCCGGCGGGGGTTCCAAGTAATTAGTTGAAGGTAACTGGTTGCTTTGAAGCAAGCCACGGAAGTGTCACGTAAAACGTTTGCTCCACGGGCTATGCAGTGTCAGCAGAACGGCTTTGATTTCACAGTCACAGAATTTTTTTATTTGAAGAGAGTTTCTCTGCTCGTTGTCTGAAAAGCTTGTATTGGGAGAGTTCGTGACTCCGGGATAGCAAGAATAGGCATGGACATAGATTTACAAGATTAGATGGAAATAGCTCTTGGCACACGGCATGAAGACCCGATCGATTTCGAAGTAGATGTGCTTCAACCTCGACAGTCGAGAGAAGAAAATGAGGAGCCCAGATCGAGCAAAAACTGACGAATATCGTCCACAGAGACACTGCACTCCGGCGACAATGGGGAGCGCTTTGCTTTAGGTTCAACAGTGGCCATTGTTCTTTTCTTATCGGAGAGACACTCAAAAGAGAAAACTGTTCGACAACTCTAAAATAATTCTTTGTGTACTTGAGCCTTTCCAGGCGTGTTACGTACAATACCTGGCCGTGGATTCGTAAAGAAAGACCCCAAATTGGGCAAACGGGCGAAGTAGGTCCGGGCCAAACTTCCCATTTCGTCATAGCTACTCACTACATGACGTATGAAGTTTGGATTTCGTTGCGGCACTGATTTGTGCTGAGAAGGATCACGAGTTGCACACTCTGGGGGGTTATGGACTCTTGGTTCAACTGAAGACCATCGCATGGATCAGGATACCTGGTACATGTACTAAAAGCCCTCTGAGTGACAGAGTCTGTCTGCCCCATACTGTTGGTGCTGTGGAACTACTTCGTGTACCGTTGTAGAAAGGATTATAAGAGCCATGGCCCAATCATAAAAGAAGCCTCAAAATCAATGAAGGCCGGCTTTGAACTTACTTGTTGAAGTGTACCACAGGTCATCTAATCAGTAGAGTCGCGTGCCCAAGAACGTTTCCGGATTCCTGCATTCTGTTGAACTGTTACTTGCATGCAGTGCAGAGTTGTTTTTTGTTTGCTTGGAAATCGGTTTGCGACTTTGTGAGTCGACTAGTCTCGAGCCTCTCGTGACACTAGTACACTGCGCCTCTCGTGACACTGCGCGGGCGCCGGGCGCGGGCACGGGCTGTATGTATTTTACTACACTGTACTCGTACTCCTTGGCTTGAAAGTCAAGACTTGACAAGAGTCGAGACCGGGCCAGGGCAGGGAGTCGTCAAATTATTACTTTGACCACTGGCAGGTACATGTACTACAAGTACAAGGTCGGTCGCGGCCGCGGGCCATGGGCCTGGCGCCATCGCGATATCGGCCGGATCTATGAGTACTAAAAAAACAGCTAAAATTTAAAACCGGTTTTTTTAGTACTCCCGGAATCCAGTGCAGATCGAGCGCTCTGACGATCACGTGAGCTGACCGTTTGACTGTTTGCATTTGACGCAGTCGACGTCTACAGACTCAGCTACGTATACTGCAGATATATCTGCAGACTAGGTCGAGCCATGCATCATGTGCATGCATGGTACAACTGACATGTTTCCCGCCAAGGTTTCAAATGTCCAGATCCCCGTGGCAACTACGCAAATCACCGTGTTCTCCAAGGTCGTCACCTCATGCGTTCCGCAATCGGACTACAGTTTGGGACCTCTCATAAATAGTCAGGGGAGGCAGTTGGTCAAATCAGTCATTGATCTTTCTCAAGTTTGCGAAGAATCTCAAAAATGCCTGGAAAAGTTGCTGCCAAGGGTGGAAAGAGTGCCGTGAGCGGCAAGGCCACGAAGAAGGCCGTCACCGATGGAGGAGACAAGAAGAAGCGTCATCGCCGCCGTCGCGAGTCTTACTCGATCTACATCTACAAGGTCCTGAAGCAGGTACACCCCGACACTGGCGTGTCCAGCAAAGCCATGAGCATCATGAACTCGTTCGTCAGCGACATCTTCGAGCGCATCGCCGCCGAGGCCAGCCGCCTGGCTCACTACAACAAGAAGTCGACCATCACCAGCCGGGAAATCCAGACCGCTGTGCGTCTCCTGCTGCCTGGCGAACTTGCCAAGCACGCCGTCAGCGAGGGTACCAAGGCTGTGACCAAGTACACCAGCAGCAAGTAAACTCGTGTCGATTTGTGTTCGCTTGATTCTTCAAAAACAACCGGCTTTTTTCAAAGCCACCACATACAATCAAAAGAAAGTTGCTGTCCGTTTTGTTTGTTGTATTGTAAGGAAAGTAAGCACACGTACGTACACTGTCCATGTAGTCCGATTTCAAATTGTGAGCATTCAAAATATTTCCAGACTTGAAATACCATGTACGTAAGTCGTTGTACTGGTAGTACTACTGTAATAGAAAACTACAGTTGTCCACACTTAGATGATGCGTTTGTCAGTGCAGTGCAAACAGCTGTGCTCGCGGTAGTTTCACGGAGTCAGCCTCCCACATCCAATCCATCAGCAATACGATACACTGTGTAGACTACATTGTTGTGTCATGTGCACCTTCTTCGTGATTGTCATGTAGAGCTACGTGCTTGACTTGCAAGCACGCGCTTTCACAGACCACTAGGCACTACTTGTATTCAAATTCGCACACCCTGTACTGTAATAAAGACTTCACGAATGTCCGGTGCGTCCGTTTCATACCTGTACTGGTGCACCGAACGCCTAGTACCGGTGGTAGTAAGGGAACTGCTTCTCTGTACGGATACATGTACCTAGTAGAATTACCTACACTTTCTGCTCAACCTGGCCTTTTGCCCTCATGCCGAAAATAATAAGCACCTAAAAATTCTGAGTGTGCAATGCACCTGTGAGCATCTACTTCTTGCACGCAGCCTAAGCAGTGAACTGATTTAAATTTGTCTTCATTAATAATATTTTCTTGGTAAATAATTGTCGTGTAGTTAGTCCGTGAGCCAAATCTCAGAATCGGCCGTTTTAGCATCGACCGTTGCACCCAGAGATGGACAAATCGTCCTTCAGCACACCGCTTCACGATGGTATCCTGAAGCGATTTCCACTTGTTGGACAGTTCGAAACTGATCCAGGGAGGTCACAGAAGACGCCAAACATCCAAGTTTGCTCACTGACAGCAGCGGCCATTTTCGCCTTCTTCGCTTGATTTTTTTGCGCTTGTTCACGGATTCTCATTTTTTGAAGCCATGAGCAGATACCACGAGTGCACATAACGCAGAAACCAGTGCACAAAACTAGATTCGAATTTTTTTGCCGCTGAGAATTATGAATCGGGCCGGATCATGCATATGCAAACTGCATGCAGCAAAGACTAAGTCACTACTGTTTGTAGTTACAATGCAATCGTTCAGAACTAACTGACTTCCAAGAATGTCCTAAATATCTCTCGACATATTTGTTCACCACTTCCTAGGCCAATGGGCGTAGTAGACTGTAGTGAGTAACCTTCTGGAGCAAATGACGACTGCCCCGAGCATGAACTTCTTTTCATCCTGTTCAAGGTCAAATATTACTCAGTTTGCGTTGAAGAATAACAATTACATTCGTGAATGGCCGAACTGAGAAAACCCTCATGATTTCTCTTGGATTTCGTATCCCTAAGATCCTCTACTTGGCTGGATAAATCGCCTCTTGATTTCATCATACTGGACTGGAACTTGTAGATAATAGCGAGCAATGACTTGGTGAGTGAAGTATATTTCAAAAGTAATAACCACTCGATTACTGAATAGTAGTGAATACGTAGAATACTCCAGATAATGATATGAACACTGAAGCTAATGTGACATTACTGTAGTACAATAGGAAGTACGTCACCACTGTTGTAAATGCACGCGCTGATCCTATCCAACCTGACGGCCAATGCAAGAGGTTGGAATTGGCTATTGATTTCCTAACACACTCATGCAGCACCAAAAGCCACCTGTCATTGCTCATCAGTTTTCAACTCAACATAACACAGTTGCAAATCACCAGGTGCACATCTTGGCACATAATGTGTGCTGTCGCAGTCCACCGCAGAACATAGTAATCCACAGATAACTACCGATATAAGATGATGTCACATACATGCATGCGCGCACCCACACGCATGCGCACACACACACACACACATGAAGCAGCTGAAGAATCCGACTATGCAGTCTCCCAGGCACGCGCACACACACAAACCAGCTGCCGAATCCAACTATACAGTCTCCCAGGCATGCACGCTCGCACGCACACACACATGAACCAGCTGCCGAATCCACACAAACACGGGCGCGCGTGCGCACACACACACACACACACACATGAACCAGCTGCCGAATCCGACTATGCAGTCTCCCAGGCACGCGCGCACAAACATGCTTATGCGCGCGCGTGTGCGCACACACACACATGAACCAGCTGCCGAATGCGACTATGCAGTCTCCCAGGCACGCGCGCGCGCGTGTGCGCACACACACACACACATGAACCAGCTGCCGAATCCGACTATGTCAGTCTGCCATGACTGCGAAACCAGCAAAGACATACGGTGCATTGGCTGCTGCCAGACTGGTCTGCTACAGGTTTACCACGCTCTTGAGTACACTTGCGGCGTGGCAGGCCGCTCTTCGAAAAGGAAATGTTACAAATACTACACTGAATCCGATCACGGGAGGCCGGCTGTGGTGGTGAAGCAATTCTGAATGCTGTGCGCCACTCTCCTCGCTGCTGTGCAGTGTCGAACCAATGTCCTTCAAGATGTAAGTGATGGATGTCTCTTCGGACAACATCACACCAATGCTGTCGGGTTTCACACACACACACACACACACACACACACGGCGCACACCTTGTCGACAATTGCGGAATCTAAAACCCACCAACGACCTGAAACACGGATCACACTGGCCGCAGTGGCTGTGGCAATACCGTGTCCCAACACCAGTAGTAGCCTGGGGTGGTGTCACCAACAAAGGAAAATGCCTAGCACGCACATGCACACGCGCGCACACACACATGAACGCGCCCACACACACATGCACGCTCGCACACATGCACGCGCGCACACACAAACACGCGCACGCACACACACACACGCACACCCAGAAATGTGCACACACACACACGTGCGCACACACACATACACAGCTAATGGTATACAGTAGTATGTTGCCCGCAAAGCAGCCAGGTGCTCTGGCTTGGACCTCCAGCAGCGCTGGTTTCGCCCTCGCTACTTGTCGTCTTGCCCTCTCCAGTGCTGCCTGCAACAAAACATTCCCTTCCGGAAACTCTGGGTGGACCAGTTCTCGGTGTTGTGTTTACACCGTGCTCTGCTTTCATAATTACCGGTATGGCATTCGTTGTTCGTATCAACCACTAAGCTCCTGGTAGGTGGCCCCTTACTGGCCTTAGGATGTGGCTCTGGGTTCACTACTACATGCACATCACTGTCAGCAAGTATAGACAAAGCAAAATCAGAGGCACTGGTCTTCTCCAGGTTTGCAATTGCTATCACATGGGTGCAATTGGTGTAGCACTTTCCATGATACCAGCCACACCATTTACTCCTCCCTGAGCTCTTGTGCTGGCAGAGAAAAGCCCAGATATGGTCGTCCTTCTCTCGAGCAGCGCTGACGATGCGACACCAACTTGTAGTCTCGATATTACTCACTGCAGGCTTCTCGTTTTTACTAAATTGGGCGCTGTGACACAGACACAAAATTCCAGCAATATTACTCCGCTGGGCTGTCATTTGCCACTTCGTTGCCGTCAGCTGCCTCATCCAGCACCTCGCTGCCACTAGAAACGTCTTCCTCTTCTTCCATTGTTGTCAAAACAACATCAATGTACACGAAAGGAATAAACTTCAATAAAGTGATCACAATATCCCAAGTCGATATTGTCGTCAACGTCGTCATCTTCTAAAAAATAAATTATTTTTCCTCACTCCACGCGAACTCGTGTTTTGCGCTTGCTCATACGACGCACACCTCACCACTCGCGTAAAAATATTTGTTCTCACGGTGGAATTTGGTCGAGAAAAGAAGCCCTCGCGAAGGTCTCTGGATCGGTTCTGGAACGTCCAACAAGCGAAAACGTATCCTTTGTGATGTCCTTGACCAACACTGTAAGCGGCGATTTGTCCATCCGAGAGTGCAACGGCACTTGTGATTTTGAGTTTTGGCTCACGGACTATAAGTGTGCAGCGAGTCCGAACCATTACAAAGCACGGCCACACCTCCAATAACTACATGTATCTTGTCCTTGTGAGACTTAGGACGTACATGCAGTAGAGTCGCGCGCCCAAGAACGTTGTTTCCAAGGGGTTAGCCTGGGACGTTCTTAGAAACAATCCGTCCTGGATGATATGTATCCCATAAGCTGCCAGAAAACCAACATCGCCGTTCTTAGCTTTTAGCTTTGGCGTTCTTATTTCAGGCTGGACGTTCTTGGGCTCCACGTTCTTCAGCGCGCGACTCCACTGTAGTGTGCAGCGAGTCCGAACCATTACAAAGCACGGCCACACCTCCATAACTACTAGTATCTTGTCCTCGGCGTCCTTCCTTGTATATTGGACTGACTCCCCAATTAATCCTTTTCCTGTTTGCGTGGGTGTGTTTTTTTTGTGGGTGTTTTAAAGGGGAAGTATACCCTAAAATCAAATTTTCACCAGTTGTAGTCTTCGGGGTGCTGAGTCGAATGGTCTTGGTCCGAGGAAGCTGCGACGCTCCCTTCCTACTTGAATCCCAATCGAACTCGCGCACTTCCACCGAAACTGGGTGACTGCGCCCTACTAGATGGGGATTTGTATGCAAAATGTCACTAAAAGCGCCATTTCGTTCTTATAAAAGCACGGATGACCGCGATTGGCCCATATGTTGTAGTCTTTTGGACGCTGAGTCGACTGGTTTTGGTCCGAAAAGGCTGCGATGCAGCGTTCCTCCTTTATTCCCAATCGAACATGGTTGAAGAAGCGGTCACGTGCTCCTGGGTGCCCAAATCACCTGGTCACCGCGCCAGCAGGCGACAACTTTCACACCAAGGTTCAACTCGAGTTCAACTCGAGTGACAGGACTGCACCCAAAAAAGGTCAAACAGGCTAGTAAGTTGTACCCTGCAGGCACGGTGACCAGGTGACTGGTGTACGCACGAGCACGTGACCACTTGTTCAACCATGTTCGATTGGGAATAAAGGAGGAACGCTGCATCGCAGGCTTTTCGGACCAAAACCAGTCGACTCAGCGTCCAAAAGACTACAACATATGGGCCAATCGCGGTCATCCGTGCTTTTATAAGAACGAAATGGCGCTTTTAGTGACATTTTGCATACAAATCCCCATCTAGTAGGGCGCAGTCACCCAGTTTCGGTGGAAGTGCGCGAGTTCGATTGGGATTCAAGTAGGAAGGGAGCGTCTCAGCTTCCTCGGACCAAGACCATTCGACTCAGCACCCCGAAGACTACAACTGGTGAAAATTTGATTTTAGGGTATACTTCCCCTTTAACTTCTTACTACATTGTACTGTACATATTGTGCCTTTCTAGTTTCCTGTCTGCACTAAACCTTTTTTTGCCAAACTCAAAAGCGGGCAAAAATTTGAAAATAAACAAGAATTCTTGTGATGAATGAAAATACTATCACTTATCAGTATACTCAGTAGCTACAATGGGGAAGTGCATCGATTTTTCGAGTAGGGTCCAGAAGAAAGACAATTATTATTTGATATCGGTTCGAATGATATATCTCTCGCTTCCATACGATAAGGCAAACTAAACTACTTGCCAAATCGCCGATTGTATACTCACGTTGCCATAGCGACCAGCGCAGTGATGACGTATGAAAGGCTTAGTACGAACACGGATCAATGCCGGCTAGTGGACTTGCGCCAGATGTACAGTACGTGTACATTGTAGCTCTGGTGCGTCCACGGAAAACGACTGTGATCACGAGCGGACAGAAGTGAAAACGAAAACGCAAGCACAGTTATAACGTTACTATAGAGTATAGTAGCAAAGTAAAGCAATTTTAAAAAAAACAGTTACCGTAAAAGCCCGTGTACAGGCCCCGGGCGTATACAAGGGCACGCGGCCACGGGCGTTATTTTGGAACCGGGCGTATACTTGGAATAGGGATAGAAGTAAGTATTGGGTATCAGTACATGTACTGGTGTTTCCGGCATACATGGGCTTGGGCGCTATTTTGAAACAAAGTGTTGACTTCCCCTGACTGGGCGTGTACACGGAGGGTGGGCGTATACAGGGGCTTTTACGGTAGTTACCGTCTGACTCTGTCCGACCCTGTTTGAAGCTGTACATTGTACTGTTGAGGCAACGAATTAAAATATTTTTTTTTTAATGCAAAAACCGTAGCAACTAAAGGTGTGAAAGAGCAGAACGTATCATTCACCCTGTGCTTTTACTTAGATCCAGATGGAAGGGAGTTTAATAGATGCTCCTCCGCAAAGCTCGGCACGGAAGCGGACCGGAAACTGCTCCTGCGGAATGCTTATAGTCTCCTCCACGCCAGTACGAAGGTGCACGGCTGTCGCAGTGTGATGTGTTGTATCTAATGAGAACTCCACAGTGTCGCCATCCTCCCAGGGCTGACCCAGTGTGCCACCAGCAACTGAGGGCTGAGAGCTGGCATCTGACGCCTCCGGTGACCATCCATAGAATTTACCTTCAGCATGTTCCCAGGTGCCAGCGTCAGTGACGGGGGTGGCAATGCTGGCAAAACCAAGGAAAGACTCGCCGGATAGGATCTGCACCAAAAAATCTGATGGTGGTGAACTGGCGCATACAGAACCCATCCAGCCTTCGGCAAATTTCTCCGCGGGAAGGGTTGCGACTACTCCTTGCTCGGAAACGATAACTTCTTTCGACACTGCCCTCTCATCAAATTCAAAACGCGCAAATAGAGTTGCGAAACTTTGGAGGCTACCAGCTGATGCTGGGATCTGATGCGACGCCCATGACAGCAGACGCACGCTGCGCTCCATTTCAGGAGAATAATCGAACCCAAGCTTGCTGCTGTCTGTGGTTGAGGCGTCTTGGCTGTCCGTCTCTGGGATCGATGCGATTTCTTCTTCGAGACTTGGTACGTCATTGTCGACGGCTGGCTGCCTGCTGCCGTGCTTCTCAGGATCGTTATCCAGGAGTACTTGCAGAACAGCTGTATCGGCCAGTTGTTTAGATAGATGTATAGCAGTGTTGTGCCTGCGAAACGCTTCCTCCCTTTCCGCCTTGGTCTCCTCCAATTGCTTCAACACCGTCCATCTCTTCTTGTCAAGTTTGCGTCGCAGCCTTTCGCCGTTTTCCTCGATCATCTTCACGGCAGCAGCAACGTCAACTTTGATCTTCTCAGATACCATCTCAGCCGTAGCGTTGACTTCTGCAATACTGGCTTCCGCAGCAGTCACCTGATCTTCCAGAGAAGAATTCAATTCCTGACGCTTCTCCTGAACTATCCTCAACTCTTTAGCAGCCGCGCTGATGTCCACGATGTCGTGGTGGCAATGTGCAGTGTGTTGTTTGCTAGTATGACATCTATCACACATCAACACATTGCATGACTTACAGTAAGATCGTAGATCTTCATTGTGCAGCACGCAGCGCTCACTATGAAAACTACTTGTCAATGAAACGGCAGTCATATCGTGGTTGCAGCGATCCTTTCTTCGCCGATGTGCCACCGAATGAAGGTTGCAGAGCAGAATGTCACAGGTCAAGCAACGTACATCGGCCGGCTCATCGACATCTTCGCAATCCGAATGTTGGCAAAATACGACCCGCTCGGTCTCTCCCTTCGACTGCAAGTAGTTGCTTCGATCAGATAAAACCTGCCCGTCATGGTCCGGTCTCACCACAAGACTACTAGTAGTCGGCCAGCTAACGAGGCATTCGGTGAGTTTACGACCTGGACCAGGGTCTGGTGTAACTATTTGACATCGAGCACAGCGAATAGTGTTGTCGTAGCGCAGAAACTGCTCTGCACAGGATTTGCACGATACGTGAAGACACTTGAGTATTTTCAACTTACTAGCTGCACCGGATTCACCATCGGACTGGCAGAATACACAGTTCTCTAGACATTCTGGCGAGTGGCTAGTGTTTGCCTGGCTGGCCATTGCTTTCGCCACAGAGATCTATGTACGCGAAACCAATTACTTGACTTCATTCAAGTGGTACTAGGCTACGAAGTAGTGGTGGTAGTATACTAGTACCGGTATATACCAGTTTGTGAAGAAAAGCCAGATTGAAAAATGCCTCCGATCCGGCCGGCTAGGCCGCCCCTGTATGTAAAAAATTAAACGCGACACTTTGAAAAAAGAAAGAAAGCCAAATGCCAGAAAAAATGCAAAATCACCTGGTGGAAGTACTGTCGACTGTCGTGGACATGGAAATCCGGTCGCACGTCTAGCGGCCCAGCCCAGGCCAGGGCGCTGATGTAGCCGTGGATAAGCGGTAGATCCACACACATGGATGTCAATGCGCTGCATATGCATGCAGCGCGCGCATCGGATCAACATGCACACTGCACACTGCACGCAGCGGTCTGAGCTGTACGCGCTGCCGGTCAATCGATTGGATTTCCATGTCCGCTACAGTAAATGTACAACAGATTTGACTGATGATCTACTCGCCGGGGTGTGCAGACAGTTTGAGAACGAACACTAGTTCGGACGGGACACAGTGGACTTTGTTGGCAGAATGGCGAATGAGCAAGCAGGTGTTAGGTCTTCGCCACCAGAGTGCCAAGAAAATTGTGTGTTCTGCCAGTCTAATGGCGAATCCGGTGCAGCAGCTAGTCAGTTGAAAATACTCAAGTGTCTTCACGTATCGTGCAAATCCTGTGCAGAGCAGTTTCTGCGCTACGACAACACTATTCGCTGTGCTCGATGTCAAATAGTTACACCAGACCCTGGTCCAGGTCGCAAACTCACCGAATGCCTCGTTAGCTGGCCTACTCGCCTATCAAGTGCCAGCCAAGACCGAGTTGTGCATGGCGAAGTGCAAAATGTGTCGGATCCAATGGGCTGTGGTGAGAAATTGCTGTGTCAGAATTCCGACTGCGAAGATGCTGAGGAGCCAGCCGCAATGCGATGTGTGACGTGCGATCTTCTGCTTTGCGAACAGCACTCAGCTATCCACACCAGACATCGGAAGCGTAAAAACCATAGCCTGGCAGAGGTTCCCGTGCTGAAGAGGACCAGGAAGTCGCTGGTATCACGCTTTGAGTCAGAGCGTTGCCCGCTGCACAATGAAGATCTATTATTCTACTGTAAGTCTTGCAATACGTTGATGTGTGATAGATGCCATGCCAACCATCAGTGGGCTGCACATATGCATCACGAAGTTGTTGAGATAGCCGCGGCTGCTAAAGACATCAGAAAAAGTCAAGATTCGCGTCAGCTCGTATCATCGACTCTGCACGAACGGGTGACTTCGGTGGAGGCGTCCATTGTTGCCGTGAATGCGCAGACGAAGGCAATATCGGAGAAGATCAATGCTGATGTCGCTGCTGCCGTGAAGGTCATTGAGGACAATGGCGAGGCGTTCCGGGCGACACTTGACGAGCAAAGATGGCGTGCATTGAAGCAGCTAGAGGAGATGAAGAGTGCCAGGGAAGAGGAGCTACGCAAACACAACATCGCCATCTACCTATCCAGACACATGCCCGATGCAGCCGTGCTGCAAGTGCTATCTGACGACCACGAGCAGTACGCTAGCAGCAATAGCAGAGACGGCAGCGAGGATGACAGTGACCATAACGCACCGACACCGTCCACTGGCTCCAGCGGTGAGTACGCCGAGCCAACAGGCTTTGACCTCGGGATCGATTATTCTCCGGAAATGGAACGCGCCGCCAGGCTTTTCTCATGGAGCTCGCGGCAGATTCCGGACAGAACTGTAGGCTTTCTACCCACAGCCCGTGGGTATGTTGACCATTCCTTCGATCACGATGTGATGTCGCCGGACATCGATCTTTACTCAAACGGGAAAATTGCAAAACGCCAGACTAGACTCGACACTACGTGGGGTTCGGTCTGCGCTATCGCTCCACCCTGTGAGTTTAGCGTGAAAGTCTTAACCGGTTGCGCATTCCTTGGCTTTGCTAGCTTAGACGTGCCAGCCATGTCTGGTGTGCGCTGGGCTCACGGGATTGGTGACTTCTATGGATGGTCACCTAGAGAGTGTCTGCCTGACAACCACCCTGTGTATGCTGGTGGCATGCTGGGTCAACCGTGGCAGGATGATGACGTCATCAGCCTTACGCTCGACACAGTGGAGCACACGGCAACTGCCGTGCACGAGCCCACTGGTGCGAAGGAGACGATCAAAATCGACGAAGGTGCGTTCCCGGTTTGCTTCCGTGCCGAATTGTACGGTGGAGCAGCCATTCAACTGCTCCCCATCGAAGTTAATGTGTAATTCTAAGAATCAGGGAGGAGAGAGAGAGAGAGACAGACAGACAGGGAATAGCGAGTTATAAACTGAGCAAGGTGTCGAGGACTGATTCATGCCTTTCAGTTTCCTTAGCTTCAGGGACTGTTGCCGAGTGTTGCCACTCTGAGTGTGGTCTGCTCTTCTTTTTGTCCTAAGTCGGACTGGCTTGTTCTCATAATTGCTGGCACAGGTTTCTTGTTCTGGAATTATTACTAATTGCCAGATTGTTTTTCAAATGTTGCCGTTCTCTGTTTTCGCATGCGTGTTCTTTCTGTGAGCAGTCATTGTTCTTACCGGTACAGTCAGATCTCGCTTATCCGGTCCTCGTTTATCCGGATCCCTCGGCAGTCGCCATCCGGAAGAAAATCGTTGGTTACCGATTTATAGCATATGCCATGTACACATACAGTAGGTGTGTTTGATTATCCGGTTCCCTCGCCTGTCCGGACATTTTCGTGGAAAACGGATGTGTGCGGTTAAGCGAGGTCTTACCGGTACTACTGCAGCACCTTTTTTTTCTAGTTTCCTGTCTGCCCTGAGGCTGCTAAACGTTCAATTCATCAATTGCCCCCATGCCGCCAGTCTCGTACCGTGAACATCAATTGCTCTGACTTGGCCGATCCTTTACACCAGTAGAGTCGCGTGCCCAAGAACGTTGTTTCCAAGGGGTTAGCCTGGGGCGTTCTTATTTTGTCAGCAATCTGGCTGCGTTCTTACAGCACGTTCTGAGAAACAATCCGTCCTGGATCATATGTATCCCGTAAGCTGCCAGAAAACCAACACTGCCGTTCTTAGCTTTAGGCTGTGGCATGCTTAGAATTTCAGGCTGGACGTTCTTGGGCTCCACGGTCTTCAGCAGCACGTGACTCTACTGTACCGGAAAACTCAGCACTCACTTGCTGTGCATGCGTCTGCCATGATAATTATGTACATGTACATGTAAGAGCCTGAGGAGTATGAGCGGTTTAAAAAAAAAACCAAATCGAGCATCGGCACTGACTGTACACATGGTACATGTATTTGGACTGTGGAGATGTCGATGAGCTGCTGCTGGTAGCCAGGTGCGTCTGGCAGCCATGCACTGCTTGCCAGATGGTATTCTGCTAGGCATGCATGCCTTGATTCATTCGATGGAACATGTTTTTGACATACTCCACTCAGACCTTGCGTATCCGGGCACCAAAGTAAGTTACGGCCGCTCCCGGCTACCGGGCATCATTTCGGCAAGTTTCAGTGGAAATATTACTACTCACTTTTTGTGGAAAATAATAATTAATAGCGATGTCATACGTCATATCTATGACCTTTCCCCATCCAAATGCACTTGATTTGATGTACTAGTGTAGTAACGGACACTTTAAAGGTACATGTACAAGCAGTGTCCGCTCCCCGGACCGGCCGGATAAACTAATTCTGAGCGTATTATACTGTTGTAGTACAGTACATGTATGAGCGCACCTCGTCGCACAAAAATAGTCGGAAAATTCCCAAGTCTCCTTGGGAAAGTACAGTGCGTATCGGTTATAGCGCGGTCGTGTAAAAGAATATACTGCCTACAAGAATGAACTCTCATGTTTTCATAATCATAACATGGATTTCAAGTGCACATTTATTCTTACAAGCAATTTTATCGTACAGTAGAATATATCGGTCCTAAGAATGGACTTTGTGTAGCAAAACATACCAGATTAGTACAAAGTATATCGCCTGTAGTAATAAGATCCGTCAAATGCAGTTCCGACCTGACTCGCGTTGGGTCGTAGTGCTGCAGGTTCAACTGTTGTGGTCATGTATTAACTATTAACTCATGTTGCACAGCCACATGGTAAGCCCGGCTATGTGACTATGACCAGTCGCATGCACAGTACCGCTACATTGCATGATGTAGACCTACGATGATCTTCCTGCCTCTGCGTACATGCACGTGATATGTCACACTTGATTTATCGTTTGTAAGAGATATCGGAAATAAGAATAGAAAGTCGTTTTTCAAACACCCACGCTATAACCGATACCTACTGTACCTGGAAGTTGAGAGTACCGCAGCAGATCAACACTCATGATCCGACGGACGAACCGGCTGATTGCCCAGTTTGCAACTGCCTGGGAGATGTAGCAGCCAGGGAGACGACAAACAACCACGAGGCAGACATGGGCAACGGAGTTGACAGTACAATAGCCAATACGATTGATTAACACTGATCGTGGACGTAGGAAATTGGACCCCCCCCCCCCGATACACACACAATCCCGCAGTGCCGTCAGTAGATGAACCTGATTTGCAATAATAGTTAGTATTGAGTTATACACAAATGTCACCATTGTTATACAGAACTCTAAGGCGGTACACAGATATGCACGCCCATCAAGAGAGGATGTCAACTTGAGGAATTAAAATCATAAAACAACTGTAATACTAAAAGCCAGCAAACAGAGAGCGCTAGGGACAGGAGACAAGACCTACAGGCCAAAGGGGTGGCATCCAGGTGTTCTAGAAGAGGCAATATACACACCAGGGCTACTCTAGAAGCAGGAAGGGAAGCAAATATGCAGACAGTACGAATGCGACGGAGTAGTGTAGCAAAAAGTTGCCAAAGCCAAACAAAAGATGTCCAGACGTGTTTGCTGTGAGAAGCATCACAGGAGAGATGGACGTACGCATTAGCACGAGTAGAAGTCATAGTTTGAACATTGAGCGGCCAGTAGGCGCACAAATGCCACGGATACGGTTAGTACATGAACGGTTGATGGTGCCGTTAAAAAAAACAAAATAAAAACAAAGGTTGTACAGCACATGTGGTGCAAAAACACAAGCCAATTTTTAGCTGACATGTTATTGAATAGTGCGATACGGAAACACCGAACGCGTCCTGCTTCGGCAGTACATTGAAACAGCGGTAAGCACAACCTCTGTCTTTGAACACAGCCAGAACGCACGAGCAGTTTCAACTTTCGAGACAGTATGAAGAGCGCGTGCTCGAGATTCGTGGGCCAGCTTGTTAGCAATCAGAGAGACAATTATCTGTGCGCATGCTTGAAGCCACAGACAAACTGCATACCCAAGATTGCGGAGGCTTGTGAATGAGGTTATTCTCTGGGTATACCATGACATGACGATTATCCGCACCCATGTTTCAACGACACACGCCGGCTGAAGTCAGAGCGTGTAGGGAATGATGGTGGAGGCTATTCTCGGAACGGCATAGCCCATGCACTAGTTTGTGGGAGAGTAAGACCCGGCCTGATGAAGAGAGAGAGAGAGAGAGTGAGATATAGAGTGAGAGAGAGAGAGAGTGCGTGAGAGCGAGAGAGAGAGGGGGGAGGGCGACCGTGTGTGTGTGTGTGAGAGAGAGAGAGAGCAACAGAGATTGCCGAAGCACTGTGGTCGAACAGAGCCCTCACGCAGCAGCAGAAACGGTCAACACCATCCGCAAGTAATATTGTGCATGTCACAAACCAGTACTTGCATGTTACACCACCACTATGCCTTGGTCGATGCGGATGGAGGATTTGTGAATTCCAGTGGGATGGAGCGCTGAGATATGCACGCGTCGCATACCCACTCGGCGCAGTGTTCTGCTGTGAGAAGGTCATACGCACGCTGTGTCAGTCCCGTACACATGCGGTGGAACCAGTGCTCGCAACCGTGCTCGCAATAGATCGCCTCATCGTCGTCCGTCACCTATTTACACACACGCACACACACACACACATGCACGCACACACACACATCTCAGACCTGCCCATCGCGGAAGCGATGATAGCGAACAGCTATGTTAGACATAGCAACTTGTGCTGGGATTACACCATTCAACACCTTGCAAGGCTGATGAATTGACCGCCACTATTTTTAGCCTGGTATCCACCACACAGCTGTCTGAAGTGACTTTTTCTGGCCAGTGAATCCCGATTTTTCATTTTTCCATATTTTCATTTTTCTTTTTTTTCTACACACACACACCACACCACATACTCCGGCATACACTGGCTGTTGGTAACCACCCAGGAGAATGAAAGAAAAGTCAGGAAGGGACCGAGAAAGAGAAGAAAGACGTGTGCGACCATAATCGTCGACACACACACATGCACACACACACACACACACACACACACACACACACACACACACACACACACACACACACACACACATATATACACACGGAGAGAACACAAATGTAGGAATGGACAGCCAAATACAGTATTGTACATGTACAAGCAGAACGGTGTGTACGCATTGCATGATTGGTCAAGAAGAATTCTGAGAGCATTGCAGTCTTTGCTGGCACTACAATCAAACCCTGGCAAGCTATGAGCCATGGCCCATCTTACACTACGGAACTGAATTCCATTGTTGTATTGTATCGCACAAGTATTACACTGCAATATAATCGTCTAACACCCGCGGGTTTATCTCCGTCTCTATCTGCTATGCTAAAATTGTCGTGGCAGTCCTTATCAATTCTCTCCTATAGCCCTATGCAATTTTCACCAGTATCATCATTGTTGGCTGACGATTGACGGATAGCCACGAAGCTCCGAGTTAGAATTTAATTCAACCTAGTTCCATTGCAAACTTATGTTCTGTTGTGTCAAATGGATTCTTAGCCAAGGCGAAGCAAGATGCCTAGTGACGGAGTCCCCATGGGGAATATTCAACATGACGAGCACGGCACGCAAGGCAGCGTGTGACACAGTGCCCTTACCTCTTTCAGGCATATGCCACATGGATACGTCAGCTCCTCGCCGGCTTCTTGCGGCGGCGCAGACGATGAGGCTGCAGTGGGCACTGAGGTGCTAGATGAGCCCAGTGCAGGCGGCGGCGGCGAGTGCGAAGATGACGTGGACGATGACGTCACAAACGAGGGCGATGATGTCATCACTGGTGCGGATGACTCGGCGGTAGTCGGCTGCGCGTTCTTGCCGGCGCTGCTGGGCGGGCGGCCGGTCGGGATTCCGCCGCGGCCGGTCGGATGCGATAGCGCAGTCACCACCGCTGTCGGTGCCTGCTGCAGGAACTGGCAGCGCACGTGGCCTTCGACGCCGCTGCCGACCGTCCACGTGCCCTGCGATGTAACCAGGGTAGGTGTTCTATGCGTGAGAACAAGTCAAACACAGGCACAAGCGCACACCCACACACACACAAATGCACACAAACTCACAGGCAAGCACACACAAATACACACAAATACACACACGCGCACACACACACATGGGTTGATTACTGATATACCGCCAAAAAAGTCCATTTCTCCAGACTGGCCGCATGACTACCGGTACTTTCGTGGGAAATTCTCATCTGCAGTGCTGTGCAATCCTGGCGCAAAGTTCACACATAGGTGCGGTAGTACAAGTACGATTTCTCAATTTCAACCATCCCCTTCTATGGGGGGGGGGATCAATCCGGGACAAGCGCAATGCTTCATCTAAATTCTAAACGCTTCAGTCAATATGACTAAGAGAGTGCTCCATGGCGGTTTGAAACTCGACCCAGCTTGATACTCTCGTGTAAACACAGCCTATTAATTAAGGCCTGTAGTGAACGCTAGTTTGTTTGTTTCTTTTATTTGAATTCGTTTAGAGCACAGGCAATTCTGCCTTCTCACCAGAGGAAAAACGTCCGGTTCCTGCTAAGAATGAAGTGCACTGAGAACTTTCGTCTTGCTGATTGTTTTGTCCTCGCTACTGCCAAGTCATAATATTACATAAATTTACCCGTAAGCAAGTACTGTTCCGGTCAGATAAATCCAACCGCATGAACAAATTAGTGGCACGTCCGATCCATCGAATTCGAGTACACAGAACAGTGTATGTGTGTAGTATTAGTAGCAGTATTTTAATTTTACTAGGGCAATCCCCACAGACTGTAAGTCTTTTTAGAGGGCACCCTAGGTAAGTGTGTGAAATAGAGCCGAATGAAGAAAACCGTAAGTGCATGAAATAGAGTAAAGAAACACGTGTTGAGCTAGGGTTGTGTAGCGTCCAGCGCTATTTTATTCATGAGGTTGGGTTTCTTTGTCCAGTACTGTACGAGGCACCAGTAGTGTTTTTTTTGGTGTTGTTGCATGCTAAGTACCGGTAGTAATCCGAAACAGTACCACTACCACGAGTCCAAAGTCCCAAGAGCATTCAACTCGGCACATGGGGTCCCCACATTACGTAGCCACGAACTGAGGCTACCAACCGGCACATCGATACATTCTTGATCTGCTAAAGGTTTCGTATGTGTGTGCACAGGCAGTGCCTTTTACCCACTAGTATCCTGTTATGGATGAAGTCGCTGTGCCTAAAACAATCCAATGGTGACAGGAAGAAACACTAAGTACTGAAAGCTGTGGGCCGCACCCAACACCCATAGTCCGAAGATGAGAGTTGCATACCCTATGGGGTTAGCACGTTTGTACTCCGAAACGTGTACTAGTGGGCGCAGTCAACCCGACACCATGCACACACCACGTACCAGCGTTCGACAACCTGTACAAACAGTCCGTTGTTCCGCTTCGATTGTCGAAGCCACGATGTACAGGACAGGATCCTGGCACTTTGCATTGATCTCTGGCTAGCTACGTATGACATGATGGCATCGTGGGAGCCAAATGGCCACGATTAGTACCATCACAGCTGCACGAATGACTGCCACAAAAAAACATTCTGCGAGAGGCTGGTTATGCACTTTTATGGAGTTAGAGTGGCCGTGGGTCTTTTCAGAGTTTAATTAATGGGGCGCCAGGAAGCACGACGACCCAAGGATGACAAGATAACAAACGCGAACAAACACCAGGCGACAGAAACATGAACATTCGAACGTGGCTGCCGATGAAAGTTCAAACAGGGATATTTGAACTTTACACAACGTACAGGTACACAGAAAGAAAGGGGAAAGCAGGACGAGGGACAACAAAAACGAATCGCGCCCGAAAAGAGATCCTCAAGCAACCAACACAGACATCAACACAAGCACTTACTGGGAATAGGCTCGGAACGGCAAGGAGCCATCGGGCTGGATGACGGCCGCCTGGTGAACATGATGTCGTCCGTAGGTCGTGGTGTCGTACACACTCGTCACATTCATGGTTCTCCCAAGTGCAGCAGCCGCGGGTCAGTGTTGGAGTAAGGAGGTGTAAATTCCAATGAAAACAACAGCCGGGTGGCGGGAGTAGTGTTGACACAGCTCCACTGATGAAGAGGTGAAGGAGAAAGGCCAAGTCCGGCAGGAAAGCACAAACAGAGAACAGATCTGCGACGGACCAAATTGCCAGCAGCAAGGCTTCTTTGCAAATTTGGCAGATCGCTTGCATGCGTACGCGTACGTACGCGCCTGCGCCTCTTCACGTCACGTGTGCGGCGAACAAGCCCTTGTACGGGGAGAAACTAGTCACTTCAGTACGAGACGAGCACATAAATTGTAGCCAATTGCATGTAATCATGGTAATACGCTGTATTCGTGGCCCGATGAATGAAAAACAGGACGCGTATATCTGATGAAAAGAGAAAAGTATCTCCCGCCGATGATGAATTTTCACTTCACCCGACACTGCGACAGTTGCAAGACTTTTCATGAAGAAAACAAAGCATTTAAATAACCGACGAGGAGACAACAGTCGTAAATTATTATTATTATTATTATTTATTAAATTTTTAATAGGGCATTCCCACAGGCCTAAGGCCTTCTTACGGGGTACCCTGTTTTTGTATAGATGAGCGGAAGTCTGATAGCGTGGAAATAGCAATTATTATTATTATTATTATTGACTGGTTTGAGGGAAAGAGACAAACGGGAAAAGTCTGAAGAAAAAATTGACTGTCACCACCAGGACTCGAACCAGGGACCCTCGCTTGTAGCCAGCGATGCTCTAACCACTGAGCTATGGTGTAGTCGTCATCCCAGCAGAGGCCGTTCAACATTTTCTTCAGACTTCGTAACTCACACTTCCTGTGAATCCACACAGGCGGGTGGGACGCAGCCCTCACTGTAACCCACACACTTCACGTACAAACTAGTACGCGGGGAGCCCCAAGTCATAAAATATTGACTGGTTTGAGGGAAAGAGACAAACGGGAAAAGTCTGAAGAAAAAATTGACTGTCACCACCAGGACTCGAACCAGGGACCCTCGCTTGTAGCCAGCGATGCTCTAACCACTGAGCTATGGTGTAGTCGTCATCCCAGCAGACGCCGTTCAACATTTTCTTCAGACTTCGTAACTCACACTTCCTGTGAATCCACACAGCAGTACAGGCGGGTGGGACGCAGCCCTCACTGTAACCCACACACTTCACGTACAAACTAGTACGCGGGGAGCCCCAAGTCATAAAATATTGACTGGTTTGAGGGAAAGAGACAAACGGGAAAAGTCTGAAGAAAAAATTGACTGTCACCACCAGGACTCGAACCAGGGACCCTCGCTTGTAGCCAGCGATGCTCTAACCACTGAGCTATGGTGTAATTATTATTATTATTATTATTATTACGAATTAGTGGTTGCGACTTCGGCGATGATTTGTAAGAAAGGGTTTGCTCCCCACACCGGAGCACCTAAGGCCTTTTGACAGGGTACCCTAAAAAATGAAGAACAGAATTACGGAAGGTATGCAAGGAAGAACTAGAGCGGACCTCCGCTGGGAGGGCATTCCAGCGGTCAGAGCCAAGGAAAGTGACATAAAATAAACCATAGCGACGTTTGGCTGTCGGAAGAGCAATGAAAAATATCAATTGTGCACTCATAACCATGTACTATAAACAATTAAAATGAAACAATTCCAGAACGTTTTCGTGTGACTATCATCAGTGGAACATCGTCACATAATAAGAGTCACTAAAACAACCAGTTATATAGCTAGAATATGAAAAGAAGCGTGAGAATGCAGCACAGCTAGCGGTTATGCATAACGCGTGTAGTGTGAACCTTTGCAATGTATCTGAGATTGGTAGCAACGGAAAGATCACCAGGAGAACGAAACGAACATGGAGGAAAAGCGAATCTGAGGAGAAGCCAGAGACTAGCGGAGACACGACTGAGAAAAATCGAGAAGGCGGAACCAGTAGCAGCAGGTGAAAGTACGGGCGCAGCAGTGAACGCGTCAAGGAGAAAGAAGCGATGGCATGAGGAGATGGAGATGGAGGATGATGATGGGGATGAACAGGATGGTCAGGAGGAAAGCAAGGGTGAGCAGGAACAGGAAGTGGAGGATGAGAGTCACGGATACTGACGAGGAGGAGTTAGACATCGACAAGAGCAAGTCTGCCATCTACATTGCACAAGCATTTGGTGTTCAGTCCGGATTGTCGTAAGTTGTTTGACGATTCCTGGTTTAGTGTTATTTGTTGCGCACGTTTCTTTAAGCAGTTGCAGGTGTTGGAAGCTGTATATATTCGCACACGTGACCCTAGTTCTATGCAAGCAAAAAGAAAATGTTGTAGCACTCACACTTTTCAGTAAATAATACGCACTCACCAGTTTTGTCCACACGCACTCACAGCTGCCACATGCATCTACTGCTACCATTCTCAGATACACTGCAAAGGTTCACACTACACGCGTTAATTATGCATAACTGCTAGCTGTGCTGCATTCTCACCCTTCTTTTCATATTCTAGCTATATAACTGGTTGTTTTAGTGATTCTTATTATGTGACGATGTTCCACTGATGATAGTCACACGAAAAGCTTGCCTTCTGCCCACACTAAAGCTGGTTTTTCTCGTCTTGGCTACATAGGTTCTGATCGGTGGAATATGCTGCCTTCCACTGTTCGCTCTTGTACAGATTATCGCCCATTTGTTCGTTCATGCTTAACCTTTCTAGGGGCTCCCGTAAGAAGACCATAGGTCTGTGGGAAACACCCTAGTAAAATAAATAAAATAATAATAATAATAACAAAACGTTCTGGAATTGTTTCATTTTAATTGTTTATACATGTACCATTGAGTGAAAGAAAAGTCAGGAGGAGGCTGAGAAAGAGAATAATAATAATAATAATAATAATAATAGCAATGAAAAGTATGAATGCCGCAGACATCACCACGCAACATGACAATTTGTTCAAGGTTTGGTTTTGTGTGTTTCCAAAATCGATTTTCACGTTGCGATCATCAGTGGAAATACGCAACTAAAGAGATCAAGGGAAAACAAAGGTTAAAAATCCAAAGAAGTGTGACACATGACGGGTAACTTGTGGTAAGTATTACAAAAAGTGAGAACTAAAATAAAGAGTAAGTGTGACAAACGGGCATGAACAGTGCAGAAACAACTCATGAACACGGGGTGCAAACTCACGAAAATAACCTAAGTGCTAAAACATGTTCTTTTTGCTTACACAAATCGGGCTTATGCGTACGAATACAAACAGCTTCAAGGACCTTCAACTGCTGGACATAACGGGCACGACACAGTACAGAGAAGTGGGAATCATCATACACACTCAAACAATCGGGACGAGATAACAAATGCAAATACACAGCTGACTTCTTACGAATTTCACCCTCATCAGCTCCATCACCTTCCCTGCCACCTGACTCCTCCTTGTCCGTTTTATCACCATCACCACCAGCCGTCTCTCCGTCATCCGCCTCGTCTTCATCCGCCGCCTCGTCATCACCCGCCTCGTCGTCATCTGTATCCTCGCCGTCATCCGCCTCGTCGTCATCTGTATTCTCGTCATCCGCCGCATCATCACCCAACTCATATTCACCACCAGTCAGTCGTCTGATACCATCCATGTTCTCCTTCCTACGTCTGTCCCGTGTCACTGTCCTTACCTCATCTACGTCCCGAGATTGTGTTCCGTTTTGCCCCCGGCTTCCGGTCTCCTTCGATGCTCCGCGTGGGCCTTGGCCATTCCTAGCATATATTTCGGTTGAATAATTGGCGGTCGACCTCCGTGGTCTCTGGACCCACGGATCAATCGCCGGAGGGTGCTGCGGTGTCCGCACAACCGGATACTGTGTCAAAGAAATGGGCTCAATTTCTGTGATTGGCGGTACTGTTGTTATTGCCGACTCCTCCCCAACCCCAGCCACCAACGGCACTGGTGGTGGCTCCGGTGGCGGCAAGGGCAACGGTGGAGAAGGCACATTCGGTTGGCTTAGTGATCCACCACTCTTCCTCTGCACCGTGTGTTCGACTTGCTCTGGTTGTGTCGGTGGTAGAGGGAGCGGGTTCTTGCGTGGTCTTCCCCGCTTCGGGCGCTTCGCTTTTGCTGCGTCCTGCAGCATGTGAAGTGGTACATGCTGCTTGATACGTGCGCTCAGGTGTTGAACTCAGTAACAATCATGATATCTTAATTACCAGACCGGACAAAGGACGCGCAACGGTCATAATGAGCCGAACAGAGTACATATCAAAAATGGCGGTAATCCTGAACGATGACTCCAAGTTCGTGAAACTCGGACCAGTTTCCACTCATGATAATACAACAAAAGTAGAGAAACGCCTGATAACATACCTAAAGAAATTGAAAGCTGAGAAAGAAATTTCGGTCTCAGAGTTCATGAGAATCAAGCCAATAGGCTCCGCCCGCCCGCGACTCTATGGCTTGCCAAAGATCCATAAGCCGAATTGTCCATTACGCCCAATATTATCAATGGTAGCATCCCCACAGTACAAAGTATCGAAGTGGCTCTGTTTGATGCTTGGAGCTGTGCAAGATTATTACTGTAAGAACATTGTCAAGGATAGCTTCCAGTTTGTAGACCTCATTCGCACTCGCCAGATTCCCGCTACAGCGCACATGTGCTCATTTGATGTGGTCAGTTTGTTCACGAATGTACCGTTGGAACAGACCATAGATATTTGTGCGGATGTTCTCTATCACAATAACTCTGTTGACACGCCATGGCTGCCTGAGTCCTCCTTCCGTACACTGATGTCTCTTGTTACTACGGGCGTTGAGTTTTCATTTGATAACGTGATGTATAGGCAGGTGGATGGGGTAGCCATGGGATCACCATTAGGTCCAGTGTTGGCAAATATATTTGTTGGCTACTGCGAATCTCTTGTGGACCAGTCACTGTGGCCGGAGTTTTACGTTCGTTTTGTCGACGACTCGTTCACATATTTTGATTCAGTACAACAGTGTGACGCCTTCTTGGACCGATTGAATAACTTACATCCCTCTCTGAAATTCACGGTTGAGCATGAACAGAACAACACCTTGTCCTTTCTAGATGTGCGTGTGGAGAAGTCAAACGATGAAATTGTAACGTCAATATACAGGAAACCAACATTTACCGGACAATATATCGTGTTTGACTCGTATTGTTCGTACCTGTATAAGGTCAACCTGGTGAAGAATCTGGTGGATAGA